TAGACTTAGGACACTGCTTGCAGCTAATGGTAAATGATTGTAAAGTTACTTTCCTGAAGGCAGTCAGTTGCCAGACTACTGTCTGGTCCCACCACAGGTAGGTCCTGCTCCCTGCTGTTAAGGACAATGGACTACTTCTCCCTAAAGGCTTGTGACCATTAGTCTGGTTCCTTTAGGTGGGATTTAAACCCTACTGATAGTGGTTTCCATGGTGTGCCCGAGAACAGGTCAAACCGGCTCAGTGACATCCAAAGTTAGGCTGCCATCCTGAATCTAGGATCTGCCCATACCCTCAATCCCTCTTCTTCCTATTGTGTGGATACCCCTAGATCACCTCCCTCCCATTACTGTATTACCTATAGCACAACCCTTTCCTGTGACTATGTCTTCACCTGTAATTAAGGGGCTTGCATGTCCCCAGAGAATATAAAAGCCTTGGTTAGCAAAAGTATCTCTCCCTCTCCACGTGGACCAACAAGTCAGGCTGAGGTGAGCATTGCTACCATGAAATGTGTCTGACTCCATTATTTCAATCTCTCCTCTACCTCTCATGCTCTCTATGACTTTACTATGATCTTTACTTATCATTGTTGTACAATTGCGCCTACCGGACCTGTGACGATGTGTTAAGGGCAGGTACCCTGACAGGTGATGATTGAACTTGTACATATATTGGCATCATATGTAAATTATATGCCAATAAAGTTGTTTTTTTAACCATTTTATTGGGGGCTCATACAACTCTTATCACAATCCATACATGCATCCATTGTGTCAAGCACGTTTGTGCATTTGTTTCCCTCCTCATTCTCAAAACATTTGCTTTCTACTTGAGCCCTTGGTATCAGCTCCTCATTGTTTCCCCTCCCTCCCTGCTACCCCCTCCCTATGAACCCTTTATAATTTATAAATTATTATTATTTTGTCACATCTTACACTGCCTGACATCTCCCTTCACCCACTTCTCTGCTGTCCATCCTCCAGGGAGGAGGTTATATGTAGATCCTTGTAATCTGTTCCCCCTTTCTCCCTCACCTTCCCTCCACCCTCTAGGTATCACCACTCTCACTGTCCTGCTATCTGGTTTGTCAATAGAAACATCGTGAGACTGGCCTAAGACTTTAAGAACCTTATTGTTCAGTTTGCTTGCTCATGGTCAACAATTATTTCCATGGTTATTCTGAAACCTGAGTTAATATAAAATATTTATGTATCATTCCCCAACATGCAAATTGCAAAGTAACAGGTACACATTCTCTATGTACTCTGATTTCACACAAGATGCCATCAAGAAAGCTTGTTTGCTACCGATCTCTTCACTAGGGCCACCTTCTAAAACATACATTTCTCTTTCTTCCTCTCTAACTTGGCTCAGCTATTCCAGGGTAAGCCCCCTTTATTGCAGTAACACGATGGAAGGAAGGTTTGTTGTTGTTGTCACTGTTAGGTGTTGGCCGGTCGGTTCTAACAGTGACCTTATGTACAACAGAGTGAAACACTTCCCAGTCTTTCGCCAGCCTTGTAACCTTCTTTCCCAGGTTTGAGCCCATTGTTGTAGCCACATCAGTTCACGTCCTTGAAGGGCTTCCTCTTTGTTGCTGATCCTCTACTTGACCGTGCCTGGCATTCTTTTTGAGGGGCTGATTTCTCGAGATAGCAAATGCAAAGTACATGAAATGAAATCTCACCATTCTCACTTCTAAGGAGTAGTGTACTTCTTCCAAGACAGGCTTGTTCATTCTTCTGGAAGTCTAAGGTATAGTCAATAGTCTCCACCAACCCCAAACTCCAAAGGCACCGGGTCTTCTTTCTCCATTGTTGATCTTTCACGTGCATATACTATAGCTTGGCTCAGGTGCACCTTAGTCCTCAAGGAGAGAGGACTTATCTCCTTTGAAATGGAAGGAGGCTTGGGACAGAAATGCAGGTGAAAGGTGTAAAGGTTAGGGGCGTTTGTGACCTATCACACACACTCTACCTGAGATAAAGAAACACAATACACAATAGCTATTGTTTGAGTATTTCCTATGTGCCTGGGCCAGGGCAAAGTACAACATGTACAATATCTCATTGGCTCCTCACAGCAATCCAGGATGTACTTCTATCAGGCTACTACTACCACTACTACTATTACAATTTTACTATTATATTTCAGACATTGTTTGGCACATTGTCTGAAGTGACCTATGTAGAAGTATTCAAGCTCTAGCCAGCCTGACTTCATAGTCCGTGCACTGCCTGACGGGCTCCCTCTTCCCACTTTCAGGAAGGGCCCAAAGGCAAAGCTCATAGACCTGAGAAGGTCTAGGAGCCCCTGGCCTCTGTTCTCCAGAAGTCTGTTGCCTTTACTTTTGGGTGGGGTAGAGAGGCGTGGACTCAGGAGCTGCGATGTGGGGCAGGCCTTTACTTGATACCTTATACTATGGGGGAAGCCCTTCAGTCTCACCTTGCCAAGTCTTTTTTCTTATAAGCTATTAAGGTCATTTTTTGAGAGACTTTAGTCTTATTGATTTTAAAACTAAGGTAGACTCTAGAAGTAGCATAAGAATGACAAGTGGCAGGGAACTTGCCACAGTTGAATGCTAGCTGTCATCTCTTCCTTGAAGGTGTCATGACAAAGTGATGTACTTGCTGATTAATCATTGTTCCCAAAATGATAAGCCAAGCTTCAACTCCTACTGGAAGTTGATGGCTTCATACACATCAACTCCTTCAGCCAAACAAAAATGGACCAACCCACTTGCCATCGAGTTGACTCCAACTCCTGGTGACCTCAGCGATGTCAGAATAGAACGGTGTTCCATAGGATTGTCCATAGGTGATTTTTGGAAGTAGACCTCTAGAGGTGCCTCTGGGTGGACTCCAACCAGCAACCTTTTGGTTAGTAGCTAAGCTTTCCAACATCTGCACTCGTCAAGGATCCTTGTCTGTCCAGCTAGCTCCACAAAGACATATAAGCCAATGGACAAGCAAAGCACACTGGGTCCTAAAAGGTATATGCTACTTCTCCAGGACGTTTCCAAGATAGTGAAGCATGCCCTGGCCATCAAACAGAGAGGGACAGATGCATGGCCTAGCAGTTATCAAGAGCTGTAAGACAGCCTTGGAAGGAATGTTCCATCTGCTCCAGCAAAGAGCTCCGTAAAATCTACAAATAGTCAATATAACGATCCTTCTTTGAATAGCTTAACCCTTACGGTGACACGTGACTCTTGGAGGAGAAAGCGTCCTTGGCTAGAAGTCAAAAGACCTGCACTTCTGTGCTGTCAATTAACTCTGTAACCTAGGGGGGCGGGGGGGGAATTCCTTCTCCTTCTTTCTGGATCGTTTTGAAACCAACTGCTATTGACTCAATGATGAGGAACAGTGACCCTACATGATAGAGTAGAATCTTTCCCCGGGGTTCCCAAGGCCGTAAATCCTATTTCCTTCTTCCTCTGAGTGGCTAGTGGTTCAAACTGCTGACTTTGTGGTTAACAGCATCACACATAATGCACCAAGTCACCAGGCTCCTTTGGCTCTTTGTGAGTCATCTGTACCATGCTGATGGAGTGGGATGGGAAGATCCCCCAACTCATATTCTAATACCTTACTCTCTTTCTACAGAGTAAGTGCTTCAAGTCTACTTGGCTTTCAGCAAACACAGTTGCATCATCTGCATATTTTAGGTGATCAGTGAGTCTTTCTCTAACTCTGATACCAGATTGGTACAGGCAAGTGAGTATACTGTAGACTGTCAAAAAAGTGGACAAACACTTGGAAGAAGTACAACAAGAATGCTCCTACAAAACAAGGCTGATGAGGCGTCATGTGACATACTTTGGGTATATGATCAGGAGGGACCAGTCCCTAGAACAAGACACCATGCTTGGTAAAGTAGTGGGTCAGTACAAAAAGAGGGAGACCCTCAATAACATGGACTGACACAGTGGCGGCAACACTGGATTCCAGTCGTTGTGAAGGTGGTGCAGGACTAGCAGTATTTCATTCTCGTGTATATCAGATCGCTGTCAGTCGGACCCTGACAGCAATGGCATCTATCAGCAAACGCCATCCTTCTGCTCCAAGCGCCTTATTTCCTGGCAGCGCAGTCCACATCACGAAACACCTCCTCAGCTTCTTTCTGTTCACAGAATATGAACATATTTCCCTTTCTCCTAGCTGTCCAGAATGCTTAGGAAAGGGAGTTCATGTTTACGAGTACTCTTTTGGAGTAGGAGATTCCTCCATCCACCCTCCCTCTCTCTCTCCCTTCCTTCCTTCCACTTGAAAGGCACGATCATCCTCACCTTACATGAGAAGGCAGATGCCCCAAAGAGGTCAAATCACTTGTTTGAAGTCCAGGAGGTAACACATGGCCAGTAGAAGAGATGGGATCCGAGGCCATCCCGTTTGCACGAGACACTGACTTTAAAGGTGTAGTTTCCAAGCACCCCTCCGGAAGGACCCACTTTGCTTTAGAGGAGGCGGGCTTGGCAACATCTAGTCTGAAGCCCTGGTGTAGCCACCACCTGATTTCACAAATCAGATCGTACCGGAGTTCCATCAGACGCGCATGTTTCTATCTGGTCGGTGGCTGCTTTCCTACTTCAACAGCTGAATTGAGTGGTCATGACAGAGAACTCTGGTTTGCAGAGCTGAAAATATTTACTATCTGATCCATTATGGAGATTCTGCAAGTCCCTGGTCTACAGTCAAGGATCCCTAGTGGCTCAGTGGTTAAAGCACTCGGCTGCTAACTTAATGGGCAGTGGTTCGAACCATCCATGGAAGAAAGAGGTGGTAGTTGGCTTCTGTTAAGATTGACAACCAGGAAACCCCATAGGACAGTTCTATTCTGCCCCACAGTGTCAGTAGGAGTGTCAATCAACTCAACAGCTTTGGGTTTGAGTTAGGTCTGTAGTCCCGCAAGACCACAAGCTTCAAAGAGCTCACAGTGTTCCCTGCTTTACCATGAAAGTGGGATGTGTGTATTCTTTATTCATTTATTTAAATAAGCTAACCAACAGCCTCAGGGGGTACCTGTCAACTAGCTGAGTGTGGGAGGCGGAGACTTGATTTTCATGCGTTCTTCTTCCCAGGAACTCGGTAATGGGGAACTAGAAATCTCAACTTGGGGGAAATTGCTCAGGGGAGGGGGTGGGAGGGAGGGAGGGAGTCCCTTACGACACTGCGATTGCGACACTCCACAGGGTTGAAAGTGACAACAGCGAGCGTTTCTATTTTCGGAAATGGACGTTTCCGTTTCTCCGAGCAGGACAGAGCCACAACATCCCGGTTTGGGTGAGCACTCAGTCGCTTTGTTTATAAGCAGCGCCTCTGGGGTCGACATGGCAGTCTCCCTGGTCTTGTCGTGGCCGCAGGATGGACATCTTCAGGTGTACCCTCTGCCGCCTAATCTCTTTGCTCCTTCTCCTGTTCCATTCAGAGACTGCCTGCAGGCCCACACGGGGAAGACGCCACAGCATGGGAACCTTCAGGTGAGCAGGGCTCTGAGGAGCTGGGGGGCAACGGCCAAAGAATGGTCGGCTCTTGGACTCTGCAGGTTTTGAGAGCTGGCCTTGAGCTGGAACAGGCGAGTGGGCTGGGGTTCTAGGAAGAGCCGGGGCTCGTCTGTCAAAATATCCCGGTGGTGGGAAGCACAGCAGGGAATTAGCTGACTTTGTCTTTGACAGCTCAGCATGTCGTTGGCACAAACCAGAGCGCCAGGCTGGAGCCTGGGTCAGCCAGAGTGTGCTGGTTGCAGAAGCAGAGGGGCAGCAGGCAGGCACGTGAGTGACCATCGTCCAACGTGCCAGATAGGGTCCTCGGTTATGTCTGTCGGAAGTTGACAGGGCGAGGGATCCTACTCACCTGGGACTCCAGGGTCCCATCTTTGATAGGAGGTTACTGATGGTCACCAGCTGCCTGCCTTACAGGGCTGTTGTGAAGATTAAATGTGCACCGGAGAGTTCTGTCCCCGGAACGCACTGATTCTCGCCCCCTTCCTCATTACTAACTAAGCAATAAACCCTTTCTATTTTAAGGGAAAACAAAAACAGAACCAGGTGCTACCCAGTGGACGCTGTCCCATGGTGACCACGTACGTGGTAGAGACCAGCTCTGCTCTGCAGGGTTCTTGATGGAGATGTCCCTTTCTTCCTTTTCTAAACAAACATTTAAATTTGCTTCGGAAGCAGCTAGTTTCTTTTTCCTCCCTCCCCTTCCCTCAAGTGAATGTGGGTCTGCTGTGATTCTGAACATTGTGCCAAGGGCTTGCTTAGTCAGACTGTCGTCGAAATGACAAACTCTGATGTTGATAAAGAAGGGAGTACTAGGCTGTGCGACTCCCGGCCCTGTGACATCGCAGGAGTGAAGTAGTGGGGAACTGAATGACTAAGTGAGTGATGTCATTCCGCTTCTCAGCCTGAAGGGGCAGACAGAGCCTCCGTGACTGGGGGAGTGTGGGAGTGTGTGAGCGTGTGTGCATACGTGCCTAGACAAGCCAGCCCTTCTCCTTTCCTCAGATGGCCTCAGGCTCAGGCAACTGCTGCTTCCCATGAGTTTGTTCAGGGCTTCAAACTGGTTCAGCCGACCAATAAAGGGAATTCAGAACAGACGTGAATTTTAAAAAAAATTTTGCTGATTCAGGAGGCGAATTAAAATGAGAAGCTGTGCAGGCTGAGGCCTTGGCATGGAAGATGTGGAAAGGGTATAGTGAACCCTTTCAAGAGCCTGGTGTGGGAGATTGGAGTATTGCCAGGACTGTGTAGAGTGACACACAACGGGATGTGGCACCTTCTCCACGCCCCCCGCCAGCCCCAGCTTAAGAGATTCCATAGTTGGCAATGCACATGCTACCCTTGTCTTCTAAGAGCGGAATGAAGTCTCTACAAGGCATCAGCCGGTGACCTTTCTTCTCCTGTTCTTGTGCCGCCACCATCTGTTACAAAGATCCGCTCTCAGTTTGCTTCCTGGGCCAGGCTGGAACTGAGAAGAACCAGTTGCAAGTCTGGGTTTTACCATGTGTTACCTCTTATCAACCGAGAGCTCAGGTGATACCCCCTGGAGATCGACCCACTCCTTTTCTCCCTGCCACCCACAACCGCCAAGCTGCAAACCAAGTGCCTTCTAGTAGATCTTAGCTCATAGCAACCCCATGTGCCCCAAACCACGAAAGGCACTACTATTGAGTACACCGGATTCAGTGACCCCCTAGGGGATTTCTGACCTTAAAAAGGATCTTTAGGGGAACAAACAAGCTCATCTTTCTACCACAGAGCAGCCGGGGGTATGAACCACCAGCCTTGTGGTTAGCAGCCCAATATTTAACTATCCAGCACTCCCATGGCTTCTTGCATGTGCCCAGGGGAGATGGTTCATCTTCTCAGACAAATAAAAAATAACTGAAAATAACCTCTGGAGGTCGAATACCTGTGCGAAGCACTTCAAAGTCCCTAGTTGGCGCACATGTTTTGCACTCGACGCCTATCCTAACCTATTAGAAAGGAGCCAATTCCTACCGATGGCCAACCCTGTGTTACCGATAAGACGTGGTCCATAGGTTTTATTATTATTATCATTATCATCATTATTATTGTAGCCTTTACAGAAACCTATTACCAGGTCTTTCTTCTGTGGCACTTGTTGACTGTCAGGCTAGTAGGAAATGCAAACTGTTTATGCTACCCATGGGTCTATGGTGCAAATGGTTAATGTACTCGAGTGCTAACTAAAACGTTGGAGGTTCAAGTCTACTCAGGGGCACTTCAGAAGAAAGGCTTGATCATCTACTTCTGACAAGCAACCACCCATAACTTTATGGAGTACAAAAGCTCCCACCGGGCCACCATGAATCGGAATGAGCTTGAAGGCAGGTGTTGTGTACAATACAAGGGAGCGTCAGGAAATCCATGGGGAAATTCCATTCTCTTTTCATTCTGACTTTTGAAGCCCCCCCTTTGAACGCATACTAACCCAAAGATTACAGTTGGAACCCACCTTGTGGCACTGCAGCAGAAAGGCCTGGCAATCAGCTTGTAGAAAGTTGGCGGCCAAGAAGGCCCTACGGAGCAGTTCTACTCTGCCACACCGGGGACAGGACACCCGCAGGCAGAGTTGTCTGGATGCCGCTAACTTTCAGGTTTGGCCAAGCAAGTGACTGTTTGCCCGATCACCTCTCTGAGCGTGCAGGGACACCTCTGAGGAAGCTGATGAGCAGCGTGTTGGGATCCTCATCACCATAGGTGAGAAGACTTAGGGTTCAAAGTCCTGCTGATGGGCAACTGGTGTTGCAGGGTCCACCTCCTGGCCAGCAGAAGGGCCCTCCTCTAAGTAGAATGGATGGGGAGCCAGCCCCAGGCCACTGGGAGAGCTAGCCAGGAAGGCAGGCCCTGTGAGCTGGCTGAGATGTACTGACGGCTGGCCCTCCCGGACTTCCAGCAGGAAGAAAGGCTCTGGGACTCCAAATAAGTTAGCTGAGAGGTGAACAGTCCCTCCAAAAAACCTGTTGCCTTTGAGATGATTCCAGAATGATACTCTAGGACAAAAAGGACTGCCCCACCGGGTTGTGAAAACCGTCATCGTGGCTGGAGCCGGCTGCCATATCTTTCTTCCCTCAGAGCGGCGGGTGGATTTGAACCACTGACTTTTCAGGTTTCGCAGTGGAGTGCTTAACCACAGTGCCACCAGCGCTCCTTCACGGTCCCTCACAACTTGTCATGCTGTGGGAGTGACGATTTAAATAGTCCCTTGAGACAGCCACTTGTCTCAAGAGACTATTTAAATCGTCACTCCAATTCAGTCCTACAGAATAAATAAAAAATTCATTAGCAACATGGAATGGTACCAAAGCAGAACCTTTCGGTCCTCAGAAAATTCTACTGGGCCCAGCGATCCTGGGGAGGATCAGCTGAAGATGAGGACGAAGGCAGGGAGACCGGCAGAATGTGGTCATGTGTTGGGCCTGTCTCTTGGCCAGTCTGAGCTCCAGTCTCCTCGTCCGTGACCTGGGTGTGTCTGGGAGCACAGCCCGGCAGAGCAGGAGGACCTCTATGACAGTCCATGAGCTTGTGAGACCCGGGAAGGTGCTGTGTGCAGTGGCTGCCCACTATAGCTCAACCTGGACTTTCTTGTTTTTCAGAATCTGGGATGTCAACCAGAAGGTCTTCTACCTAAGTCATAAGCAACTAGTTGCTGGCTACTTGCAAGCAGCCAATGCTAACTTAGAAGGTGAGTGGTTGCCAGGAGAACTGGTATTCTGTGGGCACCAGTGCACGTTGGTTGCCCCTGAGTCTTCAGCATTGACTGAACCGTAGATGCAATGCTGCATGTGATGTGGGAACCTGGTGGGGAGCGAGGCCTGTGATGGGGAGCACATGTGAGCCCGGCCTCCTGAGGACCGGCCTGGCACAGGGTGGTCCCGGGGAACAGCCGGAAGGGGCCAGGAACCAGAAGTTAAAATGCACCCATGCATTCTTCCTGTGCCTATTAAACTTCCCGTGTTTCTGTGATTCAAGCTCCTAACTCCATCCAATGTGAACACGGCATATGCAGTGTCCACTAGTGGACTCTGCTCTCTAGCTTGCTCTGGTCCAGGCTCCCACTGGGCTGGCTAGACTGACAAGCTTTGTGTGTTCTGTCCCATGTTGTCCCTTTATTAAAATGAGGGCAGTGGGTGACTGGATCTGGGATTCCTGCAGCGTTGGCCATCTAGGGTGTCAGCATATCCCTGGGGACTGACTTGGTCATGGAGAATAGTACTATCTCCATCTCCCGTCCGTCATGCCCTCTTGTTCTCGCCCTCTGTCTGGCGTTAAAAACCTACCTTTCCTGCCCTTCTTGTCATCCTAATGAAACAAAACAAACACCAAAACCAAACTTGAACTCATTGCCCTCCCGTCGATTCTGACTCACAGTGCCCCTGTAGGATGGAGTGGCACGGCTCTGTGGGCTCCCGGGGCTGTCATTCTTCAGTGGAGCAGAAAGCTCGGCCTTTCTCCAGAGAAGTAGTCGAGAGGTTCGAACTGCTGACAGTGAGGTTAGCAGCCCACTGTGGCCCAGAGCTCCTCAGCAGCACAGAGAAGCTGAGCACTTTCGGTGACAGGAGGGCACGAAGGGAGGAACAGGGTTCAAAGTCACCCAGCCATCTGCGATCCAAGCCACAGGAGCCCACTCATGCCGGGTCGCTGTGTCCTCCGCCCCGTGGGAAGCACACGTAGCGACTCGGGGCCCAGGTCTCCTGGGGAAAGTGAGGAAAGACAGAAATCATGCAGCCGACTCAGAGGTCGTGCTGGAGGAATACTAAGAATAGTAACAACATGCGTGGTTGAGCTTCAGTTTGGGTGTAGGCCAGGAGCACAGGGTCTCGCTACCCTGGTCTGGCATGGCCGTCCTATGCGGGGCGTCAGAAAAATGACCGGGACGGGTACAGGCTTCCATCTCTTCAGGTCTTTGCTGTCTCTCTACAACATAACCCTCCTTTCTACTCGTCCTCAGAGAAGGTGGAGGTGATGCCCGCTGAGTCCAACAGTGTGTTCCTGGGGCTCCACTCAGGGAAACTGTGGCTGTCCTGTGTCAAATCCGGAGACAAGGTCCGACTGCAATTGGAGGTAAGGGCCCGGTTCAGATATTGGACCATCTCAAACACCCATCGCTAAAAGCAACCATTGTTTCATTTTTCTCATGATCCTATGGGTACACTTGGATCGTCTGGCAATTTCTGTGATGGAGCTGGAGTTACTCTTGTCCCTGCTGTACTCAGGCTCTGGAGTGGAGCTAGGATGTCCAGGATGCCTTCTCATTCTCCAGGCTGTCTACACAGCCTCCCCGAGCTTCTTGACAGCCTGGTGGCATTCCAGAAGGACAATCCTTCATGTGCCATAGCTTATTCAACATCTGCTCACCTTGCACTGCCAATGTCCCACCCGCCAATGCAGACAAATGACCAAGTCTGAAGACAACAAGGGAGGGGACTATACAGGGTGTGAACACTTGAAGACTTGGTCTGATGCGGGACCAATTGTAAGAGTTTAGAGCAGCGGTTCTCAACCTGTGGGTCTCGACCCCTTTAGGGATTGAACAACCCTTTCACAGGACTCACCCAATTTATAACAGTAGCAAAATTACAGCTATGAAGTAGCAACAAAAATAATTTTATGGTTGGGGGGGTCACCACAATATGAGGAACTGTATTAAAGGGTCGCAGCATTAGGAAGGTTGAGAACCCTTGGTCTAGAGGAACTTTAATCACTGTGCTCTATGCACTTGCCCTGGGACCCCTGCTGGAAACCTATATGAGACTACACTCTTCAACAACCCCATCCCCAGCACCTTCCTTGTCCAATTCTTAGCTACTCAAAATTCGTTGGGTTCCAAATCAGATTCCTGAGTTCCTTAATCCCGTGCAATATTAGTGGTTGCCCAGCTCTGGAAAAAGGTTCCTTTGACTCAGGAGCTTGTTGGACTAGATGCTAACCCACATCTGAGTACCCATCATGAAGACATGCCACGCCTCAGTAGACAGGAGCTCTCTGTGGGAGGGGTCAGCCTGCCCTGGGTGGAGTAGGGATGAGGAGGGAATTTCATGTAGCGACTCTGCCCACAGCCTCCACCCACCTCCTGTCCTTGAGGCTCACACCCCAACAGAGCAGCAGAGGCCACAGGCCTTGGGCTCCGCTGTGGTGTCAGATGTTTGCCCAATTGATTGGTCCTTGGCCACAGTGGCCAGACTTCCAAAGTCAATATGGGGCAATGAACAACTTTTTGTCACATTGCGCTCCCGGGGGATGGGGGGCGGTGATCTCTTGCCAGTGGACTCTTAGCCGGCCTTTTCTACTGCGTAGTAGGGCACGTTGTAGGTGGAATGGGTATGCAGGCCGTCTCCGGTTCACAGCTCTCACCCAGTTCTTGTCTTCCAGGAAGTGGATATCACTGACCTGGGCAGAAACAAGGAGCAAGCCAAGCGTTTCACCTTCCTCCACTCACAGAATGGCCCTACCACCAGCTTCGAGTCAGCTGCCAACCCTGGCTGGTACCTCTGTACAGAGTCTGAAGGGGACAAGCCAGTCAGCTTCACCAATAAGCCCAAAGATACCACCAAGATCACCCAATTCTACTTCGAAGGGCAACAGTAACGCCGCCCATGCCTCTCCTTCACTCCACTCCATGGATAACTCTGGAAGCTGCCTCTCCACTGCTGCTTGGGGACTCCTGGCTCCCCTGGGCATGGCTTGCCATTAGAAGGTGCTATAGAGCCCTGGTACCTGAACTCAATCGCTAGCTTCCTCAGCTAACCAAGCTCCCTACAGGTTAGTCTTTGAAAAACGCAAACACTCCTCTGCCGAAGCCCTTCAGCGTCACCGTGCCTCCGTGATAAAAGCCCGACTTCTTCACCTGGGCCCCATCCACCTGCCCGGTCTCAGTGTCTCCGCTCTTCTCCCCACGACTCCGCCTCGCCCACCACACGTCCATGCCTCAGGTGCACCAGCACATTCCACGCTCCGACCCCTACCAGGCGGCGCCCCACCCTCTTTTGCAAGTTGGTGCTAGTCTGTGACAAAGATGTTCAGGGTCTATGCCTGGTAGTGAACATGTTCCTTACTGCGCGTGTGAAATGATGATGAACGGAGACGGCTGTGTTTATTTTCTCTCATTATTTTTTGTAATGTCACAATATGTAAAAATGAACAGTATACTTTGTTGGCCTCCTTTTTCCCCCCCAATTTCTGCAATGTTCCCGTAAGCCCGAACCCTGCTGTACAAGACCCTGAGCACCATCCCTTCTGGGGACCTTTGCAGCTGCCAGAAATGTCTGTCTTCACGCAACGCTTCCCATGATAACTCCACTAACGCCTCAGGCCCAGAACAAACGTAGCTCCCCAGGAACCCTTTCCTCCAGTCCCAGGAGGAATGAGTTGTCCCTTGATCATTTTAATATTTCTGAGACTTATGTACAAAGTAGCCATCCCTCTGCCTTCTCCTTCTGACTGAGCAGGTCTCTTGTGTCAGGGACCCTGCCGGGCCAAGCACACGGCCCCCTGCTCAGGATGTGCCCAGTGCAAGTGTGGGTTGGCAGAAAGGGTTCCTACTCCTTGGGACTTGATTTCTGTTTTACAGCAAGACCGAAAACTCGCCTTCTTGGTGAGCTGTGTCCACGGCCTTACCAGGTTTAGGGAAGGAAAGCCGAGGAGAAGCTGGTGCGGTCAGCAGGCCTGTCCCACCTCAGGTCTCAGGAGAGTCCCTGTTCCGGCCTTGCTCCCTTCGGAGAGCCTGAGCTTACATTTTCCCTGACAGATAGTTTTGGGGTTGTGTAATATTTTTAACTGGCACATCCATCACATATCATGCAATTTAATCGTTCGATCACATTAAGAAGAATGGCAGAGTCATCCCCACAATCCATCTGAGCGTTTTTCTCATACTCGTTGTCGTTAGCTCCCCACTTCTCCTCCTCCTGCCCTGCCCCGATCCAGTTACTGTCTCTGCAGATCTACCTAACCCGTATTTCACATGCAGAAAATCAGACAAACTATAAACAGGAGGGAAACAAACAAACAAGCAAAAACAATGACTGCACAAAACATAGAAAAATCTCAATAAATGAAAAATAGCAAAAATGAAACACCTTTAAAATGGGTGAAAAGGGACAGCAAATGATAAGGTATTGCATTTTAATCTAACCACAGCTGCCCTAATCGACTTTAAACGCTCTCTGTCTGATAGCAAAGCTGCTCACATCCCTTGATTATGGTCAGAGGGGATTCACCGGAGGCTTCATCCACATACAGACCCTGCAAATGGATTTGGGGCATCCATTGTCATCCACAGCCTTCTGCAAACTGGGCATTTGCAATTTAAACTCTGACATCATTCCCTCCTTTGGATTTGGATTTTATTATTTACAATCCTTGGATCTCAAAGGCTGGTGTGCTTTTCCATGTGAGTTTAGTGGACATTTTAGAAGCCTGCTTATTGGAAGACAAGCCTGTAAGACCCCGGATACTGTTCTTTCTAATAGCAGGCCACCATCTGGTTTCTTCACCACCTTTGCGATGGCCCTCAGATTTTTCAGTGATCTCTGCATCAGGATGACCATTGAGTGGGGCCACGTCAAAAGAACTAATTGCTCTTAATTGGGTCTACAATTAAGGGTGAGCCCAAAATCTATTCACATAGTAATGATTTATATGTCTCTAGTTCACTTTAGAGACATTATCATTTTATGATGGAGAACATTATAAATCATCCCCACGGGGGCATAAGGTGATTCTGTTGGTAGTGCCATTAATTTAGTCCATGGTATAGAATTTTAAAAGGAAATTATACAAATATAAACTGGCTTCAGACTGCAATAAATGAATTGTTGACTTATGCAGACTAAACCCTCAAGTGGCTGGACACTATTTACACAAAGAGTGGAGGTTGATGATAGGGAAAAACTTTCAATGACACTCATTCACAAAGTCAGAACCATTGACAAGATCAATACCTGCCATAAGAAAGGAAGGAGGGCATTACAACAGTAAATATGTGATAGTTCCAGGCCACCATTCCCTATGTATCATCAAAGCAAGGGATCTCTGCCAAATATACTTGTCATGGCTTTGTCCACAATAACCCACACATAGAAATGCGCCCAAACATCCATCCGTAGACGAATGAGCATATTGATGCGGCCATTCATACACTCAACAGCAAAGAAAATTAGTAAGTCACAGCCAGCTGTACCCAGCTCGTACCAACACGCTGGGAGGAAAGAATCACACAGCACATCTACAGCACGCTCCCATTTACATCGTTCACAACGGATTGCTCTGGGGCAGGATGCACAGGCGGGTTGTGCAAGTCTAAGGGACACCCTCTCCCTGAACGTCAGGGCAATGGTGGGCTCTGAATCCAGGGCACCAGGTGTAGAGGGAGTCTCTCTATCCATTCTGGGGAAAATCCTTTTCTGTTGTCTGGAAGAGTCCTTGGAGATCTCCAGGTAGCATCTGTCTGCTCCCCATTCGGCTTGCCGCTCTCTGTGATTCCTTGACTTTTATATCTTGAAAGTGGTTGGGTTGACCACACCCTACAGACTCATGAACTTAGCAAACATTCCTATTCCCAAATGACATTATATCCACAGTTATGTTGTTGTTGTTAGGTGCCATCACATTGTTTCAGAATAGCGACACTATACGCCACAGAATGAAACACTGATCCTGCACCATCATCCCAACTGGTGCTATAGTTAAGTCCATGGTTTAATGGCTGACCCATTAAACACACATAAACCATGAAACCACTCTGTCAAATCTATCACGAAAAGCTTCCTCTTTCCCTGCTCCTCCATTTAATCAGGCAAATGGCCTTCTCCAGGAACTAGTCTTTCAAGAGAGCGTGTCCAAGGTGCATGAGATGAAGTCTTGCCATGAACACTTCTAAGCAACATTCTGGTCAGACTTATCCCAAGACAGATTTAGTTGTTCTGGTAGTCCATCGTGCTTTTGACATTCTTTGCTAGCACCATAGTTCAAATGCACCAATTCTTCAGTGGTTCTCTTTGTTCAATGTTCAACTTTCACATGCATATGAGACTATTGGAAATATTGTGGTTTGGGTCAGGTGCACCTTAGCCCTTAAGTGACATCGCTGCTCTTCAACACTTTAAAGAGGTCATATGCAGCATATCTGCCCAATGCAAACCTGTGATTTCTTAAATGCTGCTTCCATGAGCATTGCTTGTGGATTCAATCCAAAATGAAATCCTTTACAACTTTAATCTTTTCTCCATGAATCATGATATTGTCTATTGGTCCAGTTGTGAGGATTTTGGTGTTTTGTTGTTGTTTTTGTTTTGTTTTTCACTGAATTGCAGTCTATACTGAAGGACACAGTTTTTTGTTTTCATCACCGAGTGCTTCAAATCCTCCTAACTTTCAGCAAGGAAAGTTGTGTCATCTGCATATCACAGGGTGTAAACAAGCCTTCCTCCAATCCCGAAGCCAGGTTCTTTTCATATAGTTCAGCTTCTCAGATTATTTGCTCAGCAAACAGGTCAAGTAAATATGATGAAATAATACAACCGATACACACCTTTCCTGATTTTAGCCTATGTAGTTTTCCCCTTTTCTGTTTGATGAGCTGTTTCTTGGTCCTTGTACAGGTTCCAGTGAGCACAATGAAGTATTCTGGAATTTCCATTATTTTTAATGTTATACTCAGCCTGTTACAATCCACACAGTGGAATGCCTTTGCATAGTCAATAAAACACAAGTAAATATCTTTCTGGTATTGTATTGATTTTGACTAAGATCCAGCTGACATCAGCAATGATTTCCCCCATAACATGTTCTCTTCTGAATCCAACTGGAATTTCCACAGCTTTCTGCCAAGGTACTGCTGTGACAGTTTTCCATTATCTTAAGCAAAATATTATGTGCATGTGATGTTAGGTAATATCTGCATTCTACTGGATCACCTTTCTTTGCAATGAACACTGGAATAGCTCTATTTCTGTCAGTTGGCTTGACATAGACAACCGAGTGCTTCCAGTGCTTCATCAGCCTGCCTGACAAAGTCCCCACCCCAGTCAACAGGAATCTGGAAGGTGGTGGACATTTGCGTTTGGGGGACTGTTGAACAGAGCCCAGGGCTGGAGGGGGGAATCAAACATGGTTGTTGCTGTTGATTGGAGAAGCGGGAGTCATTGAGGTCCCCACATTCCTTGTCCATTGATGCCTTTGTTCACTGCTACCCAGAACTCGGGGTTGCAAGTGTAGTATCTCTCAGGCTGGCCAAAGGAGAGAAGAAGAAACATCGTGGATTCCTCAGCTCTACCCTCTCAGTGAGCATAGTGAACCAGCCACAGGCAAAAGAGAACCCTCTAGTGGAAGGACCCAGAAATGCATACAGGTGTCTAGTTTTCTTCTCTTGTTTCTACCATGTATATTTCCAGTGGGAGCTGAGTGCAGCCTAGCATGGCCATGCCTAAAGGGGCATGCTAGTGGTGATTAACAAGCTTGCATGTCACCAGCTGACTCTCAAGGTCAACCTGGCACAGCAACTGAGCCAAGAATCCTCTAGACTGCCTCTGCTTCTTTTATTCTTGCCTTTTGGCCTCTGTCTTCATTCCATCAGAGTTGGGGCACCCTTTCCTCTGACTCTGAATTACTGGGTGGAAATAGCCTCATCCATTCAAAACTTTTCCTCATATATTCTGCTCACAAAAACATTAAAAATGAAAAATAAAATTATTTCTGTTGTTATCTGTCCATTCCTGCACCTTTGGTTTTTCTCTAATACCTTAAAAGCATTAGAGCTTGTAGTTCTTCCTTTGATACATTGGTTCTTAATCCTAGGCTACCTTTGAAATGGTTGAACTTCGACTAATTCTTTTTGATACAGTAATATTCTGAATATTTGATACAGTAATACAGCAATATCTGAATATTCCTTCAATCTCCCTTTGCACACCCCACATTCCAATGTTTCTTCTCATTTTTGAGTGTGACTCATCAGCAAATGAATGTCCCAAAAGCTCTCCTCCATTTGTGTCATTAAGAATCTCTCTATAGTGAGGAGGCAACTCTTCCCAAGTCCCCTTCTGAGTACCTTCCAACCGGAAGGAAAGTGCTCCACTTTGGGCACTGTGTCTGGCAATATTCTGCTGTGATTCATAAAGTTCTCCGTGGCCAATCCTACAGAAGTG